TGGATGGATGGATGGATGGATGGATGGATGGATGGATGGATGGATGGATGTATGGATGTATGGATGTATGGATGTATGTATGGATGGATTAGATCATAATTTTCTCCAAACTGCTTGAAGCAAACAAACCCTGGATCCACAGAGAGCCTCTTGAACATTTGATATGTTGTAATTTGTTAAATCTCCACTAGGTGGCAGTAAATTAATCACATTACTCCTTTAAAGGCTTATCTTTTATTTACCCTAACTGGAGAGGACCTGTGTAGCAGCTGAAAAAAAAATTACACACCAAAATTTTAGATTTTAGTGCAGGTCAAAACTCCATTTATTTTGCAAATGTCCCCTTTAACCTGAAGAAGAGGTGTTTGGAAATCAAAAACTGTCCTGTGTGTTTTCAAACATCGTAAATAAAGTAATAAAAAAAAGTAATAATCTGGGAATGCTGGTCTCGACACCAGTGCAGGGGTCACGGCAGGTGACAGAGATAATGGTGATCAGGAAATAATCTTCATTAGCGTTTGCTCTCCCCTTGACCTGTGAGAGGCTGACGGTGACAYGCTGAGCTGTCTGAGAGGTCAAACACATATTTCTACCTGCACACACACACAAAGCAACACAATGGGTGGCACCCCCTGCAGCTGTGACCATGTGATTATCAGYCTTCATTGTAACGTCAAACAAACTGCGCCTACAAACACACACAACACACTCACATGGCGCTGCCAACCAGCCCTGTGGACACAAACTGCTGGAGCACCAGGGGAGAGAAAAGGGGGAGTGCAAACAAACTCTCCCCGGGTCTGGGGCTCTGGTTTCAGCCTTCCGTCCGCTGTGGCTGGGGGGCCATGGGAACAYGAAGCGCCGGGGGCCCTGTGTCAATAAGGAGCAGTGGTTGAACACAATGGAGGCCAGCCTGCAGACAACACTGCTGACAGACACCCACACAAAGAGGCTGGAAATGGGAAGGAGGCCTGCACGCGCACGGACTCGTGCACGCAAACACATGCGGTGAAAGAACAGGGCAGTGTGTGTTTGGCTCCAGTACAAATGTTTGATGACTACTTCACTGTGTCTGTGCGTGTGTGTGTGTGTGTGTGTGTGTGTGTGTGTACTCATACGGTGCTCATGTGCATAAAAAAGTTAAATAAATGTGTGAATAGCATGTACCCCAGAAAACATTTCAAACATGTCTCAGTAGACTGAACTTTTTTAATGCATTGTTTGCATTTGTTAATCCTGTTTATGGACAGACTGGGGGTCCAGGATAGTGCCCCTGAGATAACATGATGCCATCATTAAAAAAAAAAAAAAAACTTTATGGTCCCAAAACATTAGGAGTTTTAAACCTGCTCATCATGTCCATGCTGCAAATATTTTAATTATGTAAATGTGTTCATATTTCTCTACTGGTAAAGGCTAAAATGCTTTGCTTTAGATGTAAATAACACCACTTTTTCTTTGCTAATTTTACGTTAGTTATAATTGTACTTTAACCTTTATTTTTAGAGTACATGTTTGCACCGTGAAAGGAGTTGCTTTCAGTCTCATTTTACCTGTTTATGACAATAAATCATAAAAGCAAAATATCAAGTGATTTCTTTTGTTTAGGTAATGTTTAAAAATTAAATAATTGAAGCTTAAAACACAAACTCTAATGTTCATAAAGTAATATTTTCAGTATCTCAGTCCTGTTTTCTTTTTTTTAAACCCTCACATCAGGGAAAAGTAAAGACACGTGCTGCCACCTGGTGGTGAAAATGTGAATAATCTTTATTCCGGTTCTAACCAGCAGGTGGCAGCACTGAATCCATGCTTTATTCTGGGGGATTAACAACTATTCATCACAAAAACTCTGGATTTCTATTTGGATTTTTGTCTTTTAACCAGAGCTATGTTAACAAATTCTTTTATGTGTGACAGAAAAATAACTAAACTGCTGTGTCCATGACCTGAAGTAATGCATGATTTATTAAATTTGTTTTAAAAATTCACAAATTTTAATCAGGAATTAGATTTTCAGACTGTCTGCTTTGTSACTTACAAATGTCAGTATGAACATAATAAAACAAAACTTGTTCAGACACTTATTATATTTCTAATAAATAAAAATAATATACATTTAGTAATCTGAGACCTTGTAGATGTACATTTGCTGCAGTGCTAAGCAGTTTTACTTCTGAGTTTAGGTGTTATGACTGCTTCACAGGCATTTTAATTTAAAATTAAAATTTTGGTGCCTGATCAGTGGACTTATTTGAACAGATGAAACGTCTGGCTGCAGGAAAAGTGGACAGCAAAAACGAATTAAAGCAATATCAAAGTTTTATTTGTAAAATGTAGTTTAGAGAGGAACAGTAGTACAATTCAGACAGAAAAAAAAGGAAAATGTAGTTCCATCTTTGAAAACCTTTTGATAAAAACGTAAAAAGAGTAACCTGAATTTGCTTCTGTGTTCGGAAGGGGCGCTGAGGCGCGGCCCGAGCTTTGCATCACTGTTAAAGTTCGAGAGAAAACGTTGAAAAATACAACCTTCTTTTTTTTGCAACAGCGTAAAAAAATACAGCTGGGAAGAAAAAAACCTCTCCTTTATTACATCTGTAGTGTTTTTGCTTTTGTCTTTTTTTTTCTCCATTTTCTTTAAACGGTGTTTTTTTCTTCTGTTTGTCCGTATAACAAATACAGCATAAACTCTGTGACGATACATCGTAGCTTCGAGTTTCATTCGTTACAGTAAAATCAGTAGGATGGTATCAAATAAAATACAAGGACAAACATGACGAGATGGTAAGATGAACGAGCACACAGCGTGAACGGATAAAGAGCAAGGTTAAAGGTCACGGAAATAAACCACCACAGGAGGTGGTTTGTGGCCGACTCAGTGTGTTCCATTAAGTAAATCCACTATAATATATTCTTCATATATATATATATTTATCTCATATATTCTCCACATATATATATATATATATCCGCAACATAACCTCTCCCACAGTGATTCAAGGGTAAAAGTGACACAAAGAGGATGAATATCTCTATGATTTAAAATATATTTTCTTCCACTGAGCTTAAAAAGGAAGTTACACGTCTTCGGTATCATTAGCACTTCAGTACATACTGTATATTCACTGCATACGAACAGATAGTGCTGCTCCAAGGTTTTAACCCGCAAACAATCTGTGTTTCTTTACAAAACATGTGCTGAATGAAAAAAGAAAATAAAAGAAAAAAAAAAGGGCGGGAAAGAAAACAGGACAAGATTGTGGAAAAGAACCCCAAAAAAATTTTTTTTAACAAAATCATCATGTTTGGAGGGTAAAGTGAATGATTCCATAGCATAAAAACATTTTTCTTAAAAAATCTCAACAATTACAGACACGAGCAAGGATTCTCTACACTAAGCAAGTATTCAACCTGGCTTTTTCGCATACATTATGTTTCAACAATAATTAAAAAAAACAATTTTGGTTGGACAAATAGAAATTAACAGTCTTGATTGCATTTTGGAGTCTATATATATATAATATTAAATAACAAAAGAACATCTAATAATAAAAAAAAGGTTGCGCACTGGAAGAAAAACATTTTTTCTTAATATATATAGATATATATAGTTCCATTCAGACCCGCTTTTGGGTGAAACACAAAAAGAAAAAACAACGCAAAAGTAAGTGCATGTCTACGAGGCGCCATAGAGCTTCACTTTTTGTGGACCAAAGTGTTTTCTACCTGGCAGACCTAAAAAATATATAATAATAATAGTAATAATACACACATGAAGAAAAAAAATTAAAGTGATGACATTTTTTTGTATATCCTTTACACATGGAGTTCTTTCAGACTTAAAACGTCGCACATCATGATTTTCGCACATCTCTACCCCTGCCCCCTCCCCTCCCCCCACCTCACAACTAATGTTCAAGTGATTCAAAATATATTTACTTTAAACCTCAGTACCAAATATAAAACATACAGGTATCGACGTCCGTTTAGGGCCTCGAAATTACAAAGTACTGGTTCCACAAAAAAAATAAAATAATTAAATAAAAATGGTATGTGTGAGTGTGTGCGCGTTAAAAATTAAAAAGCTCAAAAATAAACACAAAAATAAACTATGGCAAAAGCATACCTGATAGTCGCCGAAGCACAACAGTGTTCTATAGTTTAAGCTGATTATATTCTGCATAACTGAGTCAGTTTAAGCTTTATGATTATAAACATATAGCCTGTAGGTCCAGTATTCTGCAACAAGCATTACAGCACCAAACGGTTCATCATTTGGCAAAATTCAAGCTTTAAGTGAAAGTCAAATGCTTTTGTTTCATAATAATAATAATAATAAAGTGTTACTGTGACGCCGTGATTTGTATAAAGCTAGCGATAACATTTCCCCTCTTTCATTCTCTTTTTTAAAATATTTTCTTCCCCACGCGTTTAACAACAAACCCGATGCTCTTTTTTTTTCTTTTTTAAAGTATGTTCAGTAGTTCTTGTTTCCTGCTAAATCTTGGTGTGCGGTCTGTTTGGCACAATATCACAGCACTTTTAAGTTAAATCATAAATATGGCTGCGATACATCAGAGTCACAAAACAGATTTTTTTTGGTTCCAAGATTTGTGCAGGGAAAGAGAAAAGAAAAAAGAGAAATAAAAACATTTAGCACATCTAGATCTACGAAGCGAGTTTAAATCTTCCTGCGGACTCTAACGCTCTTCTTCTGTGTTTTCTAAAAGCACCGAGCGACAAACACATCGACAAGCTGAGGACGTCAACTCCGCCTCGGCTCGCACACACACACACAGAAAAAAMAAACAAATTATTAGCATTTAATAAGACCATTATAACCTCTCTTCATAAATTAAATAATTAACATTTCTTTGTTTCGATGATTGGCCTACCTTAACTCAAAAATTACATCACCGTGCCCAACTCACGCCCCCAAAATAAACAAACAGGAAATAAAAACACATCACCAAAACAAAAAAAAAAAAACCTGATTTATCATAGAATTCGTCAATAGAATCATTCTCTTGTAGGTGCTGGACCCACAGTTGGACACATTTTAATAATAATATTAATAATAATAATAATAACAAATCTGTACATCTTGGAGTTCCCACTCTATCAAAGCTTAGAAAAGGAAAAACAAACAAAAAATCATTTCTTTGTCATGAAGTTGCACAATTAAGTAACCTCAAGGTTTGATAGCACTTTGGAGTTGATTGTTTACCAGCTAGTTTATTTTTGTGTACATATTTATATATATTAAACATCAACTTTAGTTTGTTTCTCAAGCTTGTTTATAGTTTTCAGTCCTCCTCAGGGGCAGCACCAGCGTTGCCCTCGCCCCAGTTTGATTGGTCGTTGTCGGTGGGCTCCTCCCCCTCCGCGTCTTCCCCTTCTTCCCCGTCGAAGTCTTCGTCGCGGGGAAACTCCAGGCCCTCCAGGCCCTCCTGGGTGGCCTGGTGCGAGTCGGCGCAGTCGGCGCACACGCCGTAGCGCCGTGAGCCGTGGCGGATGCCGACGCTGGCGGCGAGCATGAAGATGTTCTTGCACACCATGCATTTGTATTTTTTGTCTTTCTTGTGCACCTGAAGACATGAAGATTGAGAGGGTGAAGGAACTGGATGTGATGGAAACTATTCATGCTAGTTCTCCTGCTCCACTTCTAAGCAGATATTAGATTAGGGCTGATATGGGGAGGGTCAAAGTTTTCTTGCAAGTTTTTTGCATAAATATTTAAATGGTGAACGTGGTTCACTTTTTAATATTTCCTAAACATATAGTTTCCTCAAATGATTTATTACGGGGGATAATTTCTGCTGGTTGTTTGGTAACAAATACTCAGTGAGACTATGTTGGAAAATTTGCCTATTTTCTCGTAATTTTGAGTCACCAGCTTATCTCAAAGTGAGACATCACCTTTATTTTAAAACTTTTAAACCCCAAAACCAATTCAGGTGGAGAGATTGTGTTTTTTAAAATATCACAGAGGGCTTCAGTGCTGAACATTTCTGACCAGTCAAGTATTTCAAGTATAAGGAGGAGAGGGGACTAAAGTGGAAAAAAGAATGAGACGGAGCTCAGAACAAAAACACAAAACTAATTTTTTTCATGATTACGGTTAAAACCAGGTTATGTTTTGGATGCTTTGTCGTCATCTGACCAACATGGCTGCTGTGACTCGCCATCTGGGAGCAGCAACGCAAAACAACCAACTTCATTTGCCTAAACTCCCAAACACCCGAGTGGACATGCAAAGGAGCCGAGTCTGAAATGATCTCCTTCCTACCTCCTTGAAAAACTGACCGGAGCTTTCAGTTTTTAGGAACAGCTCAATAAAACGCTCGTTTATACATTTTAGAAGAGCTACAGCGGGAACATTTTATCCAACTTAGGGTCAGTTTGAGCAAACTGTATCTTTCTGCTCAGATAATTAAAGCGAGCCAGTTTATCAGCAACTAAAAACAGAAGCACAGGCGCACAAACTCATTTTTGTACCACTTTGTGTGTGAACCTTCAGTAACTCCCTACTTAAAAAGATTGTATTTGTGCAGTCGCTCCCCCTGAGCTGCGCTGCCAGAAACACAACACAAAGTTGTGTGGAATGAAGCGAGTGAAGCCAAAACCCTGCGGTGTTTGTCAGGACTTGGAAGATGCACTTAAAAAAAAAAGTTCATATAAAAATACGGGAGGTTAGCGTGTGTGTGTGTGTGTGTCTCACCAGGGAATGTCTCTTCACGTGCTCACGGCGGGTGAACAGTTTGCCACAGATGTCGCAGCTGAAGGAGCGCACACCTGAGTGGATGATCAGGTGCCTCTTGAGTGTGCGCCGGTGCTTGGCGATGTAGTTACAGTGGGGGCACTTGAGCTTGTTGAGAGCTAGGTGTGAGGACTCACCTGGAAAAAATAAAAAATAAAATAAAATAAAATAAACGCACACACAGGAAAAAGATCAACCAAACTATACAGTCTCGGTACAACATTCATTTCCGTCACTGAAACTAATAACGATTTAATGAGACAATTATCATAAAAGCTACAGCAGAAAAATGGTGTGTTGGAAACCAATATCCTGTTTATCCAAGTTAGGGACCATTAGTGCAAAAACAAACCACAAATAGTGATGCATTAAACAGCATTTAGTCAAAGATACACAACAGCACTGCACAGAAAGCTTGAAGAGAAAAGTACTAACTAAATCACACTYAAACAAGCAGAAATACACCACTTCTTAACATGCAACCAGTTTGAACATTTTACACAGCAGGTGAAGGGTGTCGGCCAGTTAATGAAAAATGTATTGATTTTTTTAAAGCAGCAGCAGCTCTGGTGATAGTCTTTGTGTTAGAGGAAGGTGGAAACGAGGCCCATCCTTTTGTTTGAGCACAAAACAGAATGGTTGTTAAGGTAGCCTGCCAAGGGGCGAGGATGAGGAGGGGGGGCGGGTGTTGATGGGAAGCAGGTCACCTGTGTATTAGTGTGTGTCTGTGTGTTGAACAGAAGAATATACCCTTGAAGGGGGACAATAACCTGACCATTTGGAGTTTAAAAGGTTAAATAGAAAGTTGCTTCATATTTACAGTCTATTTTACGCAACAGCTGAAAATATATTTTAATAAAAGGTCAAAATATATATTTACAATAAAACAGGGTGAGTTTAAAGTCTTTTAGTTTACAGTATATAAATGCTGGAGTGGATCATAACGAGTCATTTCTCTCAATTAGGGTTTTTATTCTCAGTCTTTATTAGATCCACACTGGAGCTGGATTTATATTTCTGAGAAGTGAAGAAGTCTGCTCTTGAATTTTGTTCTTCTCGGAGGGTTTGCATCAATTATTGCGTGAATGACCAAAAACATGAAGTAGTATCATCCATTTACATTATTCGCCATTTCCTTAGTGCTCATCTCGAGCAGTCACTGTGTAAGGGGTGGGGGACGGCTTTGACAGGTCCCAAGTCCACATGGACACGCAGAGACGAACAAGACAGGTAGAATCATACTCCAACACACACCTAGGGACAGTTTAAGGTTTACCAATTAACCTAAATGTGAACTGGGGATGGTTAATGTGGTCACGCTGTCCTATGAGCTGCTAGAGAACCAGTGTAGCCATGGTCACTCTGTGAGTGTTAGCTGCTGGGAGCTAACATCAACGTCTAAGGTCCAATATTCGCAGCAGGGTTCCTACAACTTCAGGCAAGTTAAATTTAAGACTTTAAAACTTCTTTAATGCCAACTGAAATGAAATATAAGACCAACATCACAATAAACACAAATAAAAAATACAGCTACAATTTTACCCAAATGTTAATTTTAACACAAGCCAACTAGCTGTGAGAGGCATTCAGTAAATTATAAAAAATACTAATAATGTTACTAATATTTTAAAATTTGAGATGAATTACAATCATCCTATTTACCTACAGTTTTTTAAGACCTCTAAAAAGATTGATTTAAGACATTTTAAGGCTAATTAAGGCCTTATTATTGGACTGATGCATTAAATGCCTTTTAAGACCTGTAGGAACCTTTTAAGAGGCTGACATGCAGGTGTGTGGGTGCAGCTGAAACGACAGCTAACTTCCTGACATAAGATGCTCTCCTCCTCAATCAGCTGGAAAACTCTCTGATCATCATACAGTTGTAAGAACACAAACTAAACCGTTTCTGTCAGCGTCACACAGGAGTATAAAATGTCTCAGTTTCGTCAGAGAGATAATTTCATAACTTCTTGCAGAGTATAAATCCAACCCAACTGCATAATGTAAACAAAAAAACCATCAGTTGCATATTTAATAAGCAGTACAAATGCTAGATTATTTTGTACAGAAATTTCAGTAATCTGAGTGTAAACTTACTGTAACATATGTGATATTCACAGCTCAACAGAGGCTCAGAAAAATGTTCATTTGCCACCTTTCACTTTTATTTCTACAAACAGATTATTCTATTTAAAACGAACTGCATGCTCCAAATTTAAATGAAATGGCAGCCATCAGCTGTACAATTTACTCCAGCCTTTATTTCATATAAAAACAGTGCAGCTAATGCTGCCGATTAATTATGCTTTCTGTTGTGCTGCTATACCACCCTACACTTTAAAAATTCATGTAAAAATACATTTTTAATCATAAACAGGCTAAAAGGAAAAGCTCTGGCGTCATTATGTAGTTTGAAGTAGGCACACTTCTGAYTGATTAGAGGCTTATTTGGTTAATTTCATCTGGGATTTTTGCAGTGAACTGAAGCGTTTACTCCTGAGAGCGTGTCTGAATATCACTTCTTGGAATATTTCGAGCCGCCACACAATTACAAACTAAATGTTTGACACAGCTACTTTAGAAAGACGCACATTAGAGAGTTCAACGTTTGATTTAGCTGTAGTCTAGAGAGTGGCATCTTACCATTCTCCCAGGACTCTCCTTGCTGTAAGTCTTGGATGATGCTATACTGGATCTGATTGGCCAGCTCTGGGAAAAGGGAGGAGGGGAGGGGGGTAGAGAAAGAGAGATGAGAGGATGCACACCTCACAATGTCTTCTGCGTAAAACCACCCCCCGCTCGACACAATGCAGGCTGCAGTGAACAACGTAAGCAAACACAAACCCACAGAACCCTATTGTATGTAAAGCAGGGTGCTGCTAACCAGCTCACCTGGTTTCCAGCAGGAAGGGGGTTAATTAGAAAATGACAGAGTGCAGCATTCACACCGGCTCGTCTTACACTCAGCTTTTGTTAGCACCTGTATGTGTGCGTGTTCTCCCTAAAGCATCGGTGCTCAGAGTCCATTAAAGGCACACCCCTACATGTGTGTGTGCCTTCGTTCTCCCTGGGTCAATATTTGAAATAGTGAGGACAGCCCCAGTGCATTAGAGTGGATTAGCGAATGAAGGGACTGCCCCTGGCAGCTTTGCACCTCTCAGGGATTGGGGGGTTTATTGTGCGTGGGTGTGTGCACTACAGAGACTGGTGTTCATGCAAATGTCCACCTGCTCTGTGTGGCAAACAACCCAACTGTCATGTTGGGAGAAGCTGCTCTCAGTGCAGCAAAAGAAACCAGCTCCTCATGTGACGCCTACAGTTTTCTTTACGCTTTTAAGCTAAATCAGCAAGAGCAGATAGACAAAATTTAAAAAAGGACATCACCTACTAATAAACCTGTCAATTCCTCTCAAAACGCTCCACCATAAAATTTCAGCACCGTTATTATTATTGGCGGCCTGAAACAATTCTCCTTTTCCTCTTTGAAACAAGAGAGTGCGAGTGAGTAAAAAAAGGTTTTAAAGCGAGGACACATGTTTTCACAAGACATGACAAAATCTGTGAACAAAATTAAAAAAGCTACAATTCAGGCCACTGTGTTCACGCTCAAAGCCTGACCACAGATCAAACTAAAGCAAAACGAAAGCCAAAACTGTGACATCACTGTAGAAACTGGGACAGCTAATAACGCCAGATGAGTATTCACAGAAAGATGTAGGGGCTGTTCAGTTTTATAAAAGCCCATTTAATAATAAAAGGAGGTCGATTTCAGGATGTAATTGACCTCCTTTTATTCTTCCTTTGCCAACTTAGCTTAAAAGGTGGTCACATATAAACAGAATAAATCCAGGCATAAATCTTTAATGCCTTTGATACAGTTAAACACACAACCTGGTTAAGTGTGTGAAGCCCTTCTCCCACTGGAATTAAGAACCTGCATACTCTGACTAACATCTGGTATTTGTCTTCTTTGGGAAGGAGCCAAATGCCTGCAGTAGTATTAGTGTGTATTTATGTGATTCAGCTCTGACAGGCAGTGATTGCTACATCGTTCAGCTGAAATGTTAACTGGGGTTGTTTCTGGTCACACATTTACCAGTCAAGGCGTCCCACGTGGAAACTCTGGAACAAACAGAAGCAACAATTCGCCTCACAAAGCGTGGCGTTTATAGTTCACACGTGCAGAAAGCGGCTGGCAGCTCAGTTTTAACATCTGTGCTGTTTAAGCTCACCCAGGCAACTCTTAATAATACATAGATTTTATTGAATAGTTCAGGATTGAAAGGTTATAGAAAAGATTTTGCTGAGAATCTGACCACAAAAGCAAACCTATTCTCAAGATTACCACTTCCCAAGGTTTTAGGTATTATGATACATTGTTTAAGCACCGTCATTGCAATGTCTGTGTGCGCAATAGTCTTTTATTTCTAAGGATTTAAAATAGAGCAAATGCCTTCCTGTCATCTCAGCACAATCTGTTGCACATTTTACCTTTGTTTCTTCAGAGAAACACTCGTCCATGATTTGAGCTTTAAAATAAATAAAAGGTCTCTTCAAGAAGCAAAATCCTTGGAGATTTTAACTTCCGGTGTGTTTAAGTTTGACACTCACAAAGAAAAGACGTCTGCAGACAAACTTGGGAAACAACCTCTGCCTTCAGACGTCTCTCTAAGCTCTTTCAGCACTGGTCCACTTCATGCACACACATTAAAGAGCCGTAGGAGGAGTTGGAGGCACTAAGAGCATCCAAGTGCATTTAGGAAGGCCTGGGGGAACAACAGTTTCCCCTGCTTCCTTCATTATCCTACATCAGGGAGGCCTTCTCCCTCAAGCACACAAAACGTAGTTCTCCATTTCTACACACCCTTTGCACCACACACACCTCCTCCTCCTGCCCATACCACTTCACTTAATATGTGATATTATTATGGTTACTCGAAGTGCAGGGTTTAATGGGATGAACAGAAGAAAATGGTCTGAGCTGAGGGAAGAGATTACCCAGGGCACTGTGTTGCATGAAGATACAAGTAGAGCTTTAGTGAGGAGAAGGTAAAAAGATGTGGAAAAGGTGGAAGAATTCATTTGTCCAAAAACAATTGCAAACCTGGTTGGATTTGGAAAGAGACACTTAATAGGCAGTCACAAAAACTAGTGATTACGGCAGTGTTTTTCCACCGTGGGCAGCAAAAACTAAAGCCAGGTGACACAGCTGCATAATCCACTTCGTTCCGATTCTTCAGAAAAACTGAAGTAAATAAATTTAAATGAACCCCGTGGGTACGTAAAAACACTATTTGATTATATAGGTGTTTTTTCCAGTTAGATCAAATATAAATTGTAAATTAACTTTAAAACATGTAGTACGTACTTAAAGATATACAACACTGCAGGCAGAAAAACGCCAAGCTTGTCTGAACATAACCATGCAAACAAAACATACATGTTTAGGGCTTAATATCAGTACCTGTAAGTGAACATTTTTATGTATGACTTCACTTCATTTTTGACTTACTTGGAAACAAGAAATTAAAACAAACATAACATAAAAGGTAAAATATTAGATGCAACAGCGGGCGGCAGAAAAGCTGCTCACTACTTTGTACAACTGTGAGTTATCTGCAAAAGAATCCATTACAAAAAGCTTTAAAGTGAATCCACGCACTCCTTCTGCAACGTTTCTGTGATTCTTTGAGCATCTACGTGCCAAAGCTGTTTGGCAGGACGGATCAACATAAAAAGTTAGTTCAACCACTTCTTCTTTTGTGACCCTTCTTTGACCCCCGCTATAAGTAATCTTTATGTTCCAGAGGCTTATGTACTAGAGGCTACTTAAGGATGCAAAGCACGTAAAACTGAATGCCCTGCAAAGATTTCCCGTTGGCAGTGTTTGAACAAAGCTTCTCATACTTAATGTTAAAGATTCACAGATCAGAAAAAACTTTTTGACAAACGAATAACAAAAAAAAAAAAAAAAGGCAGATGAGCTTGTTACGGAAACAGCGGGCAGAAAGTGAACATTCTGTACTTCAAGTCTGGGGTCTGAGAATCTTTGACAAATTATAAAAGGCAGGTCATAGCATCCCAACACTAACGCTTCATTAAAAAATATATGAAGAAGACGTTTTAGTAAAATGCATTGTTTTTTTTCCTTGTATGGGCGACCAGTTTTGTGTGGTTCTTACTGGGAAAAGAAAGGACCAGGATAAACTCATCAAAACTAAATACCCAGCAGCAGCGTGATACTGTTCTGCTGCAGAACTCCAAGTCCTGTACTTTGTGGATGTTACTTTGATATGTATCACAAACCTAAACATTGTTACTGAACAAGAACATCCACATGGAAACATTTACTGATGACTGTAACTTTTTTTTAATTAAAAAAAAGGTTCAACAACAGTTTGAGTAACACAAACAACAAGGTGTTTACTTGCCCTCCATGTTCTCCGATCTCAATCCAATTAACCATCTTGTACTGGACAAACAAATCCCATCCACAGAGCACCCCCTTGTAACCAACAGCACTGAAGGAATCCCTGCTGCTGACAACTTAGTGCCAGATACCACACAAAACCTTACAGGTCCAGTGGAGCCCTGCTGCTAAGTATAAGTGCTGTTTTAGTGGCAAAAAGTTGGACTTACTCAGAATTATGTGTAAACGTAAACGAGGCTTAAAAGGTCATTGTCACATAAAATGAATAAAACACAATGGGGGTAGAGTATTCAAAGTGTGACTCACCAGCATTTTCTGAGAGGGCAGAGAAGTCCTCTCTGGGGTAGGAGGCTGACGGCTGGATGAACATTCCTTCATCGAATCCCTCTTCTGGCTCAGGCTGGAAGTTGTACACAAAACGCCTCGTGGTCGTCTGTTTTTTCCTCCGCCCGCTTCCACCTGCGGGGTCGGGCGCTTCTCGCTTCATCGCTGCCGGCGCTGCAGCAGTGCCGCCTGTGGTTGGCTCGTTCCAAACGAAGACCTGCGTCTGGCCACTCGCCGTCCGGGTTTCATTGGTCTCTGCTGAATCGGATGAGGTGTCGTTGTGGTGGCTCCAGCTACCAGAGGCTCCAGGGGTCACCAGGGCACAGCCCTCACCCCCAACCACCGTCACCTCTATGTCATTAGTCTCCTCCTTTACCCTGCCATTAATGTCATCCTCCTCCGCTGCATCTTTTCCTTGGTTGCTGCTCGCCTTGATAGACAATTTTGACAGGATGCTCGTGGCCCAGAAGTTGCTGGGTTTTCGGTCCAGCCCTCTCTGTCCCTCTTTAGCTACGGTTTGCCTCTGGTTGTAGTCTACCACCACTGAATCTGGAGCTTCTTGCTTACTGCTGATATTAAGGGCGTCCTTTATAAAAGCCCTACACGAGTGAACAACCTCTGTCATTTGGAGGTAGCTAGCAACAGTCATCACCTCAATGGCATTTTGGCTTGTGAGCAGCAGATTTCCAGAGTAGAGAAAGTCAAGGATAACAGAGAAGCCCTGCACGGCAGCGACATCCAGGTGTGTGACAGTGGCTTGGTCCTGGGCCTCGCTCTTGGTCAAACAGTAGAGGGTTTTGAAGTAGCGGCTGCCTGCCACCAGGATGTTCTTGTGTGCGCGGAACACCTGGCCTGAGACAACTATGTTCACGTCACAGAGGATGCCACTTTTGCGCTGTTTGTCCAGCTCCTGTAGAAGCTGGTAACAGTAGGAGTTTTCATTGGGTTTGTTGCGGTAATCATCCTCCAAGCAGTTAGTAGAGGGGCTGGTGTTCTCTGAGGGTCGCACAGTCTCCTTTTGGTAGAAAGATAAAATAAACATTATTGTAGAAAATGTCCCCCATAAGTACTTTACAAAAACAAATGTAGGTATAAACAAATAGATTCTCATCATCTTGCACTTTGTCTATACAAAAACACACAAATCCCCATGACTCTTGTGTGACACTAGTGCACCTGCCTAAGAGGTGAAACAGGTTTGACAGGCTTCTGTTAGGAAGGAGGTCAGAATGAGGCAATGAAAGGCATACTTTAAGGCTTGGTAGTTAAATAGCCATAATCAAACTGTTTCCTCAATCAAACTTTAACCTCACAACTAGAGATAAAAAAGGCAATGAAAGCCATTATTATGCTGTTATCTACCCTAGAAGTTAGTGCATACTTTGTCATTATGTCTCAACTAGGTACCCTTCGTTCAGTGAATAATTTGATACACTTCCCAAAATGTCTTTTTTGCTATGGCGGGAAACGTGCCTAAACTTGCTGCATTCAAATACTATGAATTTAAGGGGTAAAGCATAGTGACAGGATGGCACAACTGTTTTCTTTACTCAGCTGTGTGGAACAGCTATACATCTGTGTAAGCTGCAGAGCAAAACACAAAAAAATGAACATGCTAAATTGCTAATGCATGACTTCAGTTCAGAAAAATATTACAAGATCCACACATGCAGCAAATTTTTAGAAGCTTGAAATCTTTTAAAGCAACAAAAATTACCTTCTTTTAAATATATTTTCTGCTGTAAAACTGATCAGCATAGTAACTTGACTTGTTTTTATTACGTGTCTTTTTCTAAATGTGTTTAAAGTAAAACAGGACACAAATAGGACTGACGAGTGTTGAAACGAAAACACAACCTGCCTGTTGCATGGGAGGAGAACTGGCACAAGCATTGAACTACCCCGCAACACAGCCCACTCACCAGGGTATTCACACAGCAGGGAGGGGGAGGGGAGGGCAAAGGGCCAGCATGATATGGAGCACAACAGAGGGGAGTGCACATGCATGCATATGCGAAAACGCACTGCGTCGTTATAACCCACAAGGGTTGAGTTGAGGTAAATGTATGCATGCTCAAATAATTATAAAGAACAAACATTTCTGCATAGCAAACACACGTAAATACATGTTAGCTTTGTTTTTTCCATCCCACACACTACTATACACCAGCAGGGCATACATCTCTGGCTCATTTTCGAATTGCGCAGCAGATGTCCTAATCCAGAATAATTCACATTGCTCGAGCCCTGCATTTTTGCACCCACCCACAACCTCCACCGTGCATACACAAGCACACACACGCTGAGAAAATCAAGCTGCCGGCACATACACACAGCTGGGGTTTCGTCCCGAGTAATTCAGATTAAATCCATTTCTCAGAGGTCCCCCCTCCCCCCCACCCACCACCCCTACTCCCTCCACACTGCAGCTCTTGTCCAGGGCAGCCCGGGCACAGAGGGCCGTATAGGGGAGGAGGGCGCTTATCATCCACTGCCACAGCTGGAGGGGGAGAGAGATGGAGAGAGATGGGATGGAATCAAATGAGAGGCAGACAGAGGGAGAGATGGTACAGGGGAGGGAGGGGGAAACATGGCTTTGCAGGCAGTAAAAAAAAAAGGATGAAAAGATTAAAAAAAACAGAGTTGCATTACAGAGCTTTGATGGAGAAAACACTGAAACAAGAATGACAGTAGTAAGTGGGAAAACTAACAAAAAAAAAACAACACAATGCAAATGAACAGAGAACAATGTAAAAACAGGCAGAGGCAGAAAATGTGGAGCAGAAAGTGTGTGTGATAGAGGAGTTGTTGGGTCACCCCGTTTTAGTATTCACATTTCACAATAGCTCGTGTTCTCCCTGAGGCTTATTGTCCACTCACTGTGGGCTTTTTGTAAAACGGCTCGGCACTCACTCTCTTATTACACAGCAGCTCCCACTCGCAAACTCAGAAATAAGCCATGGTGCATGTGGGTGAGGCTAAGAGGCTGAGCGGAGAGGGCAAAAAAAAAATGATTCCATGATCTACACATCAAGCCTCTGAAGGGATATGCTCATCCTGATGAGTACAATTGGGAAGAGGAGCTCTATGTGCTTTCATGTTATATTGTCAGTGCTTACACCATTCGGGATGCTTTATTTGAATTTATTCCTGTTCTCTTTGGACAAGCTTTAAACTTACCATTTAGAAATATAATAAAATTAAAAGCTAACTAATAGAATAGAAAGATTATAAATAAAAATTCTCTGGGAAGAACACTTGTATTTGTAAATTAAAACAAGTCGCCCCACCTTCAAATACCACAAATTCTTGCAGCTCTATTCCAGGTTAAAGTCTGGGTATGGACCCAGGAGTCGGACTTGGCCAGCCTGGTACGGATAAGTTGTTTCATACTGGCTTCATCAGCAGCATCCCTTCTCCAGATGTGCCACGTATGAGCTGAGAGCTTAGAGGACCAGCAGATCAACCCTGCACTGCAGATGCTGGAGGCAAAAAACCTGCCTGAGCCAAGAGAAAATGTGGGGACAATATCAGTCTACCCCAGGAGCTACGTGGCTACGATCTTTTTTCTACCAGAGATGAAAAAGGTGAGCAAAGTAAAGAGAAATCTTTTGATCTGGGTCAAAAGTACAGCTTTAAAATGAAAAGCAAGCTGCCAATGCCTGGATTCAATAAATCTAGCTATATGAGTTCATGCTTAGTGTCACACTGAACACAGTGAAAAATACACTTCAATTTACAGGAAAAAAAAAAAAACGTTTAAAACTTTGTCTAAAACATACACCACAAACCCAAACAAACCGCAAAGCCTGAAGGCCATCAGATGCATGACAAACATTTAGACACGCCTCTAGCAGATCATGTGATACAACTCCTGTCCCTGAGCAACATAATGACTCGCTGGAGACAGTTTAGTTTACCTTTAATGCACAAGTTTCCCTTCATTTCCTAAGTTGTACCCCCACCCGCCATCCATCCATCTATCCCAGTCCCATGACCAACCCAACCCTGAGGCCACCTCCACCAGTTCTTTGCCCAATACCCCTGCATCCGTCACTTTGCCTGCCCACCCCTCCTCACACAACCCATCTGTCCCCCATGACGCTAGAACAATATCGCAGTGTGCATTTGGCCCAAGGTGTGGGAGGGCTGCACTCAGCGTCTCCCTGCTTCCAAACAATGCTACAGAGCTGGGGGGTGTCACAATCAGGGTCCTCAACGAGAGGAATTTTCCCTCTGGCGCAACACCACCCATTCCCCTGACCTGTGGCCCCCAATAAACATCCCATCTATCTAGCAGGCACCAGACTGTGGTGGGAGTGTCCCCTTCGCCATTTGGGGAGTCTCAGTAAACATGGGTGTTTGTCATAACCAAATGAAAGGGTGAAAATGACCTAATGGTGCAGAATGTGTCTGAACTTCCTTTATGAGAATCTAGTGTGGTGATCTAATCTTACACTCCATTAAGATCAACACAGAAAGCTAGTTTGTTCAGTACATTAAATTAGTTAGCGTGCGTTTTCCGAAATAAATACAAGATCTTTATCCTCAACCTGCAAGAATATATTGTGTTGGGTTGTTGATGGCAAGCATTTCAAAGAGATATGAAAGCACAAAAGTGGTCAAATAATCAAGGAGAGGCCAGCTGTGAAGAACTGAAACCAGTTTCACATGACAACACTGTGAATTTTTGTATGTTATGAGCAAAAGGAAGTGAAGTAGTAGAAAAGTTTTAGTTATAGTTTTTTAAATACTTGGCCACGATGAGAAAGTACTCCGAGGGCTCCAATGTTGGTTTGACACGTAAGTGATACATAAGAAGTGATGTTTCTACGAAAGAAATTAGGTCATTGTTGCCTTTCTGAACCTAAGCCGTCAAGACAAACATTTCCAAGGCATGAATAAAATTTGTTCGTCCTGCATATGTTTTCTTAAATTGGATTTCAGAAAAACAATAATCTACTTTTTCCCCACCACCATCGCCTTTTCACCACTGAGCAGTGTAGAGAGCAATCTCAGCACAAGACAGCATGGAGGAAATTAAGGACAACGGGCCCCTTCTCCAAGGATACCCACATTTATTACAGCTGCCTGGGTGTACTGAGGATAACTGAATTAGCTTTAACAAATGCAGCAGAAGCCTGACTAACATCAGGAATGGATGACGAGAACAAGACATTGCCTTATTACACTATAATTTCTCTTTAATGTACTGCTTCACAATGCAGCAATGCTTAGAGAGTTGTGTATTATGTTATTATATGTTCTGTTATTATAGGTTGATAGATAGGAGTTGTAAAAAAATAAAAATAGATTTCCTTTTCTACATTCTCCAGGTGGAGGTAGCACACCTCTTAATACAGTGTCTGGGGTCTTTGTTACTAGGGAAAAGCCAGACCAAGCCTCTAATCCACTCCCACTGCTCTCCTTACCAATTAGAGATGCGTACAAGTTCCTGGATGACTTTAAGTAATTCTGATTAGTGATTGCGTGTACAAAAGAAGGAACTAAATGTAGGAGTGAAATCCTCTTCGCTCACACATTAGAGGTAAACGGTACCCCGCTCTTAATTCTCCTGATAGCTTAGACCACTGTCACAGCATAGGAAAAGATGTAGTCACGTACAAAAACAGAAAATAGTGGGTTTCTTAACCAAACTGCATGGCCAGATCAGCCATTCTTGTTTTTGAGGTCGCTGAAAAAGCGCTGTAGAAATGTTGTCTACTGAAATAAAATTAATGCATGGAGGAAAGCTGCACTTCAGTTACAGTGTATTTAGCAGCGATCAATATGATTTCATATCTCTTGCAAGCTTTAAATCTCTACATGGTAATATCATGTTTTAGTCTCCAACAAATCAGGTCAAAGTTAAAATTTAAGACAAAAAAATAAACAACATAACCAACAAATCTGGGAATAATGAAAACAATCAGGTGATGCAGTACCATTCTACAATTGACATCTATTTTGCTCATTCAAATCCATTCAAAGGTTGCCTCTGGGCGGTGAAGCAAGCTGTCAAGCTGGAGGTAACATGATTTACTCTCCTCTTCTTGTTCGGCCTTGCAAGTGACACCATCTATGGATTTTGGGGGGTCATTCTAGCACAATGCCTCTAATTTAGCTCCCTAAAGGGAGAAGGAGGAGGTGGCTGTGGAGGAAGAAATGTACCAGAGGTCACTCATGACTGCAAGGCAGCATGAGAGGCGGGGGGGTTGGGTAGGGGTGCGGTTCCCCAAAGGCTGTCAGGGTCAAACCTTTGCTATGGTGTGACCTCTAACAGGCTGACAATCAAGAATGCTGCTGATACAACTGTACGACATTCTGCAGCACAACTATCATATCTGCAGAACAATCATTTATATCGCAATGTGAGAATCAGCCTACACTAAAAAAAAAAGCAAAATGATCATAAAAATATGTGAAAGAATTAAATCACATAAACATGGACATTGTTTATGTTGCGCTTTAAGTTTGTAAGCATCATTTTTAAAAGACTACTAACTACTATAAAAGCATAAACAGAAAAAGCTGAAATGACTGAAAATAGGTCAGCAATGGCAACTTCCATGGAAGAGCAATTTGAGACTGAGAAGTGTGGCAATTTTGATGTATTGCTATGCATTTACGTTTGTATTTGAGCTAAAGTATGCAGGCAAAAGTGCTTTGTTTACATTGAGTGTGGACCTGCATTTCACATTTGCTATCTGAAAAACTGTACGAGTACATATTTTCAAGCTTCACTATTTGACATTGTTCAGGAAAACATACAACTCAGAATAATAAATCTAACAAGCCTTAACTCAATGTTTATAATGTGCAAATATTTTTGTTCTATTTACGCATTTTGAGTGTAGCTAGCAGGTGTCTTACAGAAGCAGGTGTTATCTGACGTAATTAAAAGCTGCACTTATAATTCAACCTTTAATGTAATCAGGAAGAGTTGTGTAACCCTTACAAAAAAAAAGAGGAACAGTTTTATTCTCCCCTTTCGTCATTGTCCATCTACCTCTGGCTAGCAATGCCTCAAGCTGTTAGCTAGGCTAATCGTTAGCTCAGGTTAGCAGGCAGATGCTAACTAACTAGCCCGGGGAAGGGATTGTGAAGCTTAGGTAAAAGCCTATTTTCGCGTTAGTTGTGTTACAGACGTTTAAGAAAACGCCACCAAAGTCAACAAACCAATCAGGCGCAGACATATAATAGTCGCCGAACAGGTATTTCGTGTTTTGTGGTGAAGTAAAAGAAAGCTAACGTTACCTGTTTGGTGGGGTCGTTTCTGCCGTGCTCAGACGACAGGTGATGTCTCAGCAGCAAGGCCCGCTTGTAGTTCCGGCTGCCTTTGACGAGCTCGTCGCTGTTTTTAGTGGCAATGTTGTGACACCACGAACAAGACATGAGTCCCGTCTCTTGGCAAAATTTGAGCCACGGAAACTCTTGCAGCCACGAAGCGTGGAACAGTGAGTGTTTCTGAAGCAGCGTCTGCGGTCTCATCTCGACCCCCGACTTCCTGGAGCCCGTCTCGCCGCCCCTCGCAGCGCTCCGAGACCCCTGGCCGTCTTCGTTGCTGCTGCTGTTGTTGGGATCGTTCCCCGCCGTCCAGCTACTCCCCTCTCCGATCCCGTCGTCGCCTCCTTCGCCGTCCCCACTTGCCCAAATGCCCCCTTCCGGGTCTTCTTCCTCCTCCGCGTCGGGCTCCGTGCTGTCGCTGACGGACCCGGCGCCCTCCACTCTCTTCTGCGACGGTCCTTTCGCTCCCAGATCCCCGTCCTCCTCTTGATCCGGCCTATTATTCCCATTAAAATGTCGGTCTTGACAGGCCGGGGCCTCCCAGCTGTTATAGTTCCCCCCTCCGATGCCGCTGGAGCCCGTTAACCCAGCTAATCCACCTCCCCGGAAAGCCAGCGATCTGCGGTTTCTCTCACCGGACATTTTTTTCTTCTCGTTACGTATAAATATCACAATCTTCACTTTCTCAACAGTCTCTCCTTTCCGACTGAAACAAACAAAAAAATCTATTTACAAGCGATGAATTGTCCCGAAAGAGATCGACCGCCGTCGTTTCTTTTCTCCGCCTGGCCCTCCCGGTGACAGTATGAAGGTTATGCGGAAATAAATAAAGGTTTTAAACGCATAATGAATTTCAGGGTTCTCGGTGCGTCCGCGCAGGCCCCGCAGAGGTCGAATGGCAACGACTTTCCCTCCCACAATGCACCTCGACCAGAGAAGTGG